TACTTCTATGCATGCAGCCGTACAGGTATATCAGATGCTGATTAACGTCATAAGGTAATATCCCATACTGAGCCACTAGGGTTTGCATACATTGTCTGTTTTAAGCCAGAAAGGCGCGTGACTCGTATCTGTTTTAATACACAGAGTCCCTTCTAGCTCCAAACAGATAACCTGAAATCTAAAGAGATCAATTAAGGGTCTCAAAACTTAATTACAAGCCATAAAAATACATACACATTTATAATAAGTTATTTTTTCAAATGCTTGATTACATGATTATGTCTCAGAAATTAATATTTCTGAAATCTCTCAAATTTGGTTGTAGGAACTGGTATTATAGATATTGTTTGTCTATGATCCACCACTAGCAAAAGCACACATTAAAGATAAACAATGACAACTAATTGAAATCATTTTTAATTTCATGAATAATACAGGTAAAACATCACTTGGGTATTATACATCAGGTGACAACATATTGGGATTAATGAGAACACACTATCAAAATCAAAGTGCATTGGAATAAAAATGTGCATGTACTATGAAACTGAACTCCACTAGGTGAAGCTTTTGGCCTCTGACAGTGAAACCCAAATAAAATCACATTTAACCAGTACAATGATTGATATATGTAAGGTACACTAGCATTAAATGTCTGTGAATTTTTCATCATAAATATGGATATTTAATCTCTGCGAACTCATGATATCTATTTTGGCAGGTAAGAGGAGTAGTTTTAAAAGGGGAAAGGGCAGACATATTTCGGTCATGGTGATTTGCAATAATTTTTTCCTTGTGAAACTTTCATACAGTGAATGTTATTATATCTATTACTGTTTTTGTGACACAATTTTGTCTGGCAGTCATCTCTCTTGATCAACCCTATACACTTCTTTTAGATTGTGACAGAGGTGCAAATAATCTAATCCAATTTGTATACCTCTGCAAATATACATTCCATTCATCAGCTTTCTATTGAACATGTAAAAGCAAGACAGTACAGTTTCAGCTCTCTAATACTAATACCATGCCCTAGATCTGTATGAAAATCTTAATCATGGCAAATCACCAAATTGAAGGGCACTTTCTTCACTTGATTAAAGTCTGTTTTTTTTACAACATAATTATAAATAATACATTTTTAAGCATTTGCCAAGCATTCTGACTATTAATTTTAGTTTTAATCCTTATTCATAGACATATAGTTTATATCAAATGTGTAGGCTAATTCAACTGAAATCACAGAAATCAATGCTCCTTATCATCAACAATCCAATGAAAATATATCAACATTCTACCACCGCCAAACAACCACCCTGATGATATGAAAACAAACAGAAAATGAAAATATACCACTTTATAAGATGATGACGTGGATCCTAATCAAATGATTGGTTGAAAGCGTACACGTGACCAGGCATTTATTTTGCCTAACACGTAATTTGGATAATGACCGGTCATTGTCCAATTCCAATGACCGGTCATTGTCCAATTCCAATGACCGGTCATTAGTAAAATCATGTTATAAAACATTTTATAAAACAAATAAAACATAATCTTATAAAACAAATAATACACATCATTTTGTTCGGGTATTAGTAAAATTACCCACACTCGGTACCTTTAAAACAATCCAAGCGTTAGACTGTTCCAAAGGTACCTTGTGTGGGTAATTCTTACTAATGCCCTCACTGATGTGTATTATTTGTATTTAATACACCCCACACACACTCCAGAATGATATGAAACAACGAAAGTACTTTTGTAAAAAACTAATATGGAAGAAAAACCTTTTTGAATAGCTATTAAACATAAAAATAGAAACTAAACTTGGTATAAATATATGCCACTCATACAGCAGGTAGGATCATATCAGGCTGCGGCCCGTCATCGTGAGAGAACTAGAATAACTGAGCGGATGACAGCCAGGGAAATGGATGACGTGCGGACAGGATTCATTCCAAGTAGACAGCTTAAAACGGCTAACTGGTAATGGTAGGAGTGTTCCGATGAGAGACGTACCAATGAGAGACTTGAACATTTGTAAACAACTTCGCAATCCCTCACTAATATGCTCAAGATGTTTGTACCACCACTGTCGGTATCTTGGGTCCAAATATTATATATGCGTAAAGCTATACTCAAAGTCATACATATATGTTTTGCCTTGTAGTATTTTAGAAAGGCCCTCTCACTCCACTGCCAAATCCATTTATTTCAAAAGAATTTTAATTTTCAAAAAATAATTCATACATATGGGTTTTTTAACTTCTCTTTGTGCAGAATGAAAAATTTCAAAAGAATCTCAAAATATTTCATTCATCACGAAGAGAAGAGAAAATCATATGAAAAATAGAAATTTCTTGTCATTGTTGGCCAAATGTATGTTTGAAAATACCAATCAGTATCCATTATCACTCATTACAATACTGTTAAAAGATATTTTTACTGGTAGAAAAAGTTGTATCGTGTTGGTTGGAATTGTATAATTGCATTAGAGTTGTATTATTGTAAATGTACTCAATATAGACCTATATTTCCTTTTCTATTCTAAAGCCATATTATCAAGATATTTTCAATGTAACATACCATTACAATGGCCCTCTCACTCCACTGCCAAATCCATTTATTTCAAAAGAATTTTAATTTTCAAAAAAATAATTCATACATATGGGTTTTTTAACTTCTCTTTGTGCAGAATGAAAAATTTCAAAAGAATCTCAAAATATTTCATTCATCACGAAGAGAAGAGAAAATCATATGAAAAATAGAAATTTCTTGTCATTGTTGGCCAAATGTATGTTTGAAAATACCAATCAGTATCCATTATCACTCATTACAATACTGTTAAAAGATATTTTTACTGGTAGAAAAAGTTGTATCGTGTTGGTTGGAATTGTATAATTGCATTAGAGTTGTATTATTGTAAATGTACTCAATATAGACCTATATTTCCTTTTCTATTCTAAAGCCATATTATCAAGATATTTTCAATGTAACATACCATTACAATGGTTTGTGTATTTGTTATTTCTAACAGGAGAAGGCATATACCAGTATATGCTGCACTTCCATAGCTGTAAGTTGGCCTATTACTAATCACAGTTACTTTTACTAATCATGATCCGCAGTCTGCTTTACGACTCTACAATACAGTGATCATTCGATTCACAGACTGCAACAAAGCTATATGGTCTCTGTTTAATACACAAACATTCAGCATGGTTGAACCTGAAAGGGGCCAGTTTACTGTCAAGGATTAGCTCACTCTAAAAGCACAAGAAGAAGGTTTAGCCGTAAAGTCTAGTCACGGTTTTGTCACGAAGCAGTTATTTTTGTCATGTATCGGTGACTGCAACCCATTCAAACTGAACATCTGTGACTTTTATCCAGAAACATCTTCTTTGTACACCGGATTTGAAAGACCGCTCAGGCACTGTGTATAAAGTGGTTGTCCTCAAGAGCCTCAATTACAAATCTTTGGGTTAAAATCCCTGCTCCATGCAGAAGCTAATGCTCTTTGACGAGGCTGGCTTGCTTGACTGGGTATTAATTGACTAGAAATGTATCCAGTTGGAATAAATTTATGATTTGTTGTATTCATTGGCTACCTAGCTCTGGCTGGAATAATATGAAGCTAGAATAATAATTAGGAATTTCCTATGAAACATACTGATAAAAATTGATTATTGACCTACTTAAATCAAACTATAGCTGGCTGTGGATTTCTACTAGGCATGCCACATATATATTTATGGGAACACGGTCTGCTGAGAGGAAGAAGGACGTTAGTTCTAGGTAAAATGATGAGTTAACATCCATCTCGCTCTCAGCTGACAGTGTCAAAAAACAGACTTGAAAATGAATTCAAATGTATCAACGTATTAGGATCACAATAGTTAAATAACAAGGATGTATCAAAAACATGCACATGAATGTACAATGTATTTGCGATGTAGTGAAATCATAATTTGTTTGCTATATCACTTAGTGATAAAATAACCCTGTTAACCATTGGATGAGTGGGATGGCATCCAAGTAGTAATCTATCTTCCTCTGTTCCCTGCCATTATAACCCACTGCATTCTCCTGCATGCACCTGTATTGTCCATCGCCCCTCGTGAGTATTTGTCAAGAGCCCACGGCTTGCGCCCTGATCAGGCGTTGATAATCGAATTATCGTTCCTCATCACCCTGGTGGCCGGCCCAGAACAAGCAATCCCTATTCTAACAGTGTCACAAGCTGTCACTTCCAATCACGTTCATATTGAGCCTAACGCATCGCTGCATGCACAGATGAGCTGGAACCTTGTCTGACTGGTAGGTAGCAATCATGTGTGTATTACTAATTCTTAAAGAGATTTTGGTAGTGACCTGCGCTAAGAATGTGTGAAATTTGATTACGGTATGCTTAATATATCTTGACATTGTTACTCTCATGCATCATAAAGGCATTATGAATTATTCTGGGAATTGACATTTCTACTTCAATGGATCTGATGTCATCAAATAAATTTTACTATGACTTAACACACATACCGGTATGCAAAATCTGCAACAGTCCTCTACCCCAACCCCCCCCCCTTCCAAAAATACCAATCCAATTAGAAGGTATCTAGGGCTGTGTAACATGCAATGTCTATCAAATAAGTGAGTTCAGTAATATTTTATTGAATCATGTCTAAAATCCAAGGATCATATTTGACAAAAAGTGACTTATTTTGGCTACTTTACAATTAAGAAAATAGGGCTCTGTTAGTCGCCTCAGAGAATCCATATTTTCAACTGGAGCCTCTCAGTACCAACGAGTGCATTGCATATTTGAGTATAATGTGTTAACCAAAATATCTCCATCCACCCCCCCCCCCCCCCCTCCTCCCACCAAAAAGATAAT